GGCCTCCTAATAATCCCCCTCTATGAACTGGCTTCATTACTCTGCTCTCATCCCCACTGATAGCTGATGTGTGGTGAGCGTTCTGGCGCACTATGGCTGACGTCGCATCATCCAGGTGGATGCTGCACATTGGTGGAGGGGAGTCCCCTTTACCTGTAAAGTGCTTTGAGTGGAATGTCCAGAAAAGCGCTTTGTAATATTTGTTATATTGACTTGACTTTTTTATAAACTGTTATTTGTTAAATCTGCTTAAACATGGCATTATATAAGCTTTAAATAGGCATATGCAAACTCTTCATGTGTGTACTCTGAGCACAACACTAAACCGGTATGGAAACATACAGATGCAGCCAACTAGAATGCACGAAGTGGTATTCAGTTGGTAAGTGCTGTAGGCACCACTGTATCTCAGAGAGCAGCTCGTCATAATTAGAAATCTTTATTTTAGCCTTTTCTTTAAAATATATATTATAGTGGTTTTAAAACATATTTTATAGAAAATAAATACATAAAAAACAAAAAAGAGGCCAGATTAAAATAAAGGTTTTGAGTAGTGATTTTAATTACTTTGCCTCTTTATATAAATTGCCTTGTAGCTGATGCAAGTCTGCACTCTGTTTAGATCAATATATTTAAATGTTAATATTGCAATTTGCCCTTGAGGTAAATTTGCAGCATTAGAGTTTATCATATATTTTTAACAATATAACATACAATATTCAAAAGTATTGTAAATATTTGTCTTTTGTCTTTGTCTCCTCATTCCAGAGCAAGTGTGTTTATACAACATAACACGTGTTATATAATAATCCTAATTAGACTAACCCTAATTCTAATCATGAATAAATTCATGACTTCATTGGAGAAATTAGGGGCCTTAAAGAGGGGGTCATTGCAACTACAGATTGAATTTGATACACAATGCATTTCAAATAAGAAGACAAAATACACGAAAAGTTAATGGCCTGATAGTATGTACTTAGTAGTATTTTATTTCATTGTGTTTTCATTGTGCTTATCACTTATCGCTGTGGCGCAAAAGACACAGCTGGAAGACATCTACTGCATAGCAAACAAAATTGCACATAATTAAGTTACATGGGATATGTAGAACCACTCTCTGACAGAATCGTAGCTTATAGGATATGGTTTAAGGAGAGTAGCATCATCTGTTTATGGTTGTCTGTTTAAAATAACATGGATAAAAGTGGAAATGCAAAATGGATATATTAGGTTTTCTTCTGACTGGGACGCTGTTACAATGGGACCCTGTAAACAATACATCTTCTGCTTCCAGAAATCTTTCCCATCAGTTAATTTAGAATTGTATATAGAGCATGAACTTTAGCTGAAGATATCTCAATAGGTTTATTGCTGCCCAGAAGTCTTTTCTTCATCCTTTTCAGTTTAAACTATTATGCACAATATGTTTTGTATAGCCACTTTTCCTCTGCCTTAATTATTGTCAGTATACTAAAAAGTACGTATTTGCTTTGTGAATGGAATTAAGAATTTATTATAGAAAAATTTAACTTCTTATTTCTTTTTTAAATCAGGGATACTGCTGCAAACCATGAATCGATGGCCACTGTTCTCTTTCACAATCTGTTGTTACAATTGGAAAAGCAGTGCTCCCAAGAGCAGAACTTTCTGCAAAGACACAACCTGAAAAGAATAAAACAACAGCTTCAGGTAAATCCAATATTGTTTAATTTTCACAGGCTAATAAGAGCATCCAAGAATGTTAAAAATGTTCATGTTTGGTTCTGCTGTACTCGGTAGATTATTTTTGCCAACAAAGATTGTAGTGAATAAGCCTTAGCAATATTGATTTAAAACAAGTTTCATACAAGTGGTGTTAGTTTGTGGAAAGATATGCCTCTTCATGTTTTTCCAGAAATCTACTTTGTCTTAGTTTTCATGTGTGTCGCAGTTATTTGTTTGCAGAACTTTTGCATCAATTTCTCTTTTTAACAGAGTTACAGAGGTTGGCTGCTTAAACCTGTTTATATGAAACAAATAATAAATTAAGCACAGAACATACTAAAAAATATTCACATCGTCAAAATTATTATTGAAGACAATTTTCTTTATTGCAATATTTTTATTATTTTTTTCGTCAAAAATAAGCTTCAGAGAGCCAGTGAAGGAAATTATCAGCAAAAGATTAAATATGTTGATTGCATAAGTATTCACCCCATTTACTATGGCAATCCTGAATGAGTTCAGATGTACTGTACACTTTTACTTTGACGAATCACACAATTAGTTGAATTGCCTCTGTCTGTGTCTGACGAAACCGTAGTTTTAATATAGGGATCTAACAATATATGGTCTTTTCTTTTGGTTTACATAGGAAGGACCTATGTAAACACATAACATTCCAAAGATAGGATCCTTGAAATTATACCTTTGTTTGCTTCTGCTTACTTCGAAGCTATTATTCATACTAAAGACTGGGATGCTCATTTAAAAGACTGTCAGAAAAGACAGTACTGGGGACACAATGTTACTGGTAAACTCGAAAAATATTGCAGCTGGTGCCACATATGAAGCCTACCAAGATATTTGGTCCTGATATAGTACAGTATAGGACTCCTGAGGCATTTTTACATTTGACTCTGGTGATGTATAAAAATTCTGTACCCACAGTGTTAGGTTTTACAAAAACTGTCCAAGTATACACAGATGCATATGAAATGGGTCGAGGAGCTCTCAGGTGTAGGATGACCTACACTTGAGAGCACCCCATACTGTTTTTGAGGTATGAACTATCCCATTGAGACCACAGTAGTTCCTGGCTGTGCTGCCATTCTTTTTTACAATCTATTACCTCATGGCGTCTCAATATAGTAATGCTGATGCTCTATCTAGGTTTTTTTTTTGCTTTGTAGTAACTGTAGCAATCTCCATTGGATTGAACTGGAAAGGGGGATATGTAGCGAAGCAGCTGGAATTGGGATGTTAATAAGAGATTAGGCACTAGTGGGTGGTGTTTGGACACTTCAGAGACAGACAAAGCTAAATAAGGTGTTATTTGCAGAATCAGCTTCAGCTGTTTCAAGATGATTTTTCTCTATTAAATAAGTTAACACGTGATGGAGGTATTGTAACCACATCTACAAGCTCCTGGTACATCTTTCATTAAATTAGATCAAACTGTCACTGTTGCTGTGCCAGTATAATGGCACTACTGGACAAACAGGATCACTTAATAGTTAGAGTATTATAGGAAATTGAAAAGATGAGAAGGATGCAGAACTTCTCAGTTGGTGTGATTGAAAAAACAGGATAGTTCTGGCCTTAGCCTAATTCTACCCTACACCAGGAAGGTTTATTTATATAGGTCCTCCATAGCGCACTACCCAGTAAGGATGATCTGCTACAGGATGCCACCTTTAAAAGAGCTACAATGGTCAGTGTTTGAGAAGGGGGAAAATGTCAATGAGTCAAGAACATCCTGGTTATTTGACAAACCTGTGACAAAAAGAAGTAATTTAAAAAAAAACACAGAAAAGTTCTGCATGTTCAGAGTTTGAAACAAAAACATTTAAGGATACTACAAACCCATAGTAAAGGTTTTGAAAAATATGGAACTTTTTTGTCCTAATACAAAGTGGTATGACTGACATTAACCCAACATGAAGCATCACCCAGTAAACGCCATCCCTACCGTCAAGCATAGTGGTGGTTGTATTAGGTAATGGGGCTGTTCCCTATCAGCAAGAACCTGGGAATCCTGTCAAAACTGAGGGGAAATGAATCAAGCAAAATACACCCTCTCCTGATTTTACATATAACTCAACTTAAGTGTGAAGTTAAGGAGAGTTTACATTGCATGCATATAGAGCAAGTAGTGTGGCAGGTTCCTTCTGTAGATAAAAAGTGTGCAGTAAACTGCCACCACCAGCACTTAGTAGGGTTCCATTTTATCAACAATCTTGCTTTTTTCATGCAGTGTAAAACAACCTAATCACTCAGGGATTATAACGCAAAGAGTTAATTGGAGTTAAAATATCAACATTAACATGTTATAGTCTACTTTGTGGATTTTATGAGTCTCATATAGTTAATGTACATATTCTCAGATACAAGTAAATATGCATACTAACTATTGAATATGTTTGGAATTATAGTTCAATTGTTGAGGATTATTATAATGTGAATAAAGACGTTTTATATTCAAAGATCCTTTGGCCAAACGTATGTTTTTGATTTCAAGCTTGCCACTGGAAATATTTATGCAAGGTTGTAAGTAATCCAGTTTCATCACCTCTTTGCTCTGTGCTCTTGAATTTTGTTGGTTGCAAGGTCACATTAAAGATGGAAAAATATCTGACATGATTTATCTAGATTTCTGGCTGTATGTCAAAAAATCCTGCAATGTCAATAAGGGTGTGTAGACTTTTTATATCCACTGTACTTGGATATGCAGAATGTTGACAAAAAAGTCTTGTGTCAAGTGTCAATTTCATTGATCAGGCAGAAATAACAATTGGTTCACGAGCACAAGATTTCGCCTGTTGCAGAAAGAATATCTTGGGCAGAATTCTGTGCTTCACTAACTCACTCTCTTGGCATGGTGTCTTCAGACTGTTTGCAGTCACATGGTTGGTGAAGTCAGAGTTGCCAGTTCATTTGAGAGAGAAAAGGAACCAGTGATTTAATTTACAAAAATGAGTTGGGAGCTAGCTTTTAAGGTACTACATCACAGTTTTCAGGTATAGTTCTGGTATGCATCCTGCAGTTCTGAGGTGTTAGTGGGGCCAGCAGGGGGTGCTTACCTTGTGGTCTATGTGGGTCCTAATGCCTCAGTATAATGACGGGGACACTATACTGTAAAAAGGCGCCGTTGTTGGTATGATGCCTAAAACCGAGGTCCCGACTCTCTGTGGTCATTAAAAATCCCAGGTAGTTTCTCGAAAAGAGTAGGGGTGTAACTCCAGCGTCCTGGCCAAATTTCCCATTGGCCCTTAACAATCATGGCCTCCTAATAATCTCCATATATGAATTGGCTTCATTACTCTGTTCTCTTCCCCACTAATGGCTGATGTGTGGTGAGCGTTCTGGCGCACTATGGCTGCTGTCGTGTCATCCAGGTGGATGCTGCACATTGGTGGTGGTTGAGGGGAGTCCCCATTACCTGTAAAGCACTTTGAGTGGAGTGTCCCAAAAAGCGCTATATAAGTGTAAGCAATTATTATTAATTATTATTATTATTGCCGGATCATTGAGTGGACAATGACCTCTGCCCCATTGTCTTTGGCATTAGGTGAATAGCAGACTGAGTGGACCCAAAACGGCACTATACTGTATATCATTAGTTAATTTCAGAATGGACACAGCTTTACAGTGTCCTGGGCTGTATTCCAGACCTAGAAGTTGTTTCTTAACAGATGGGCCCCTTGTAGCTGCATTCCATTGTTTTTACACAGCCCAAGCTGCTTTGTCAAGGCAACAGAAATATTAGTAGTAATAAATAACACTTAATGAATGGTGTAATAATATACGTTTAATAATATAATAATAAACTTTATTTTGTATTGAGCCTTTAAAGGTCGCTTATCAAAACATTTACAGAGCCACAACAACAATAATACAGTAATACTGAATACAGTAGGAGGAGAGGGATAAAGAACAGAACCAATAATAAACTTTATTTTATATAGCACCTTTAAAGGCGGCTTCTCAAAGCGTTTTAAAGAAAGACAATAAATAAAAAGAATACACAATATTTAACACAATTACAATATAAAGCGGAGACTGTGGATGGTGGTAATAAGAAAAGTAGAAGCAGAGGGGTAAAGAATGGAACTAGGTAAGTAAAGGCTCTTCTAAAGAAGAAAATTTTGTGTCTGGATTTGAAGGAGTTTATGGAAGGTGACTCTGATATCTTTGGCGATAGAGTACCAGGGTTTTGGGGGTATAACAGTAGAAGGCCCTGTCACCCATAGTGTAGACAGACTTGGGGAACAGATAGGAGAGCAGAATTAGAAGAGCGAAGGTTGCGAGGTGGGGAGTAGGATGATAGTAGCTCAGACAGATACGAAGGTGCCAAGCCATGCAGAGCCTTATACAGTAGGTGAGCATGAGGATTTTGAAGTTGACATGAAACTTGACTTGAGGAAGGAGTAATGTGTTCACTTGCACTAGACCTGGTCAGGATTCTGGATGCCACATTTTTGACATACTGGAGTTTGTTCAATGTGGATTTAGAAACCCCAGCGAGTAGAGCATTACAGTACTCAATTCGGGAGGAGACAAATGTGTTGATCAGCTTTTCAGCCACAGTTAGCGATAACATAGGGCGTAGTCTAGCGATATTTCTGAGGTGAAAGAATGATGTTCTGACAATATGCTGCACATGTGGGTCAAATGTCAAGCCTGAATCAAATATCACCTCCCAAGTTTTCCAATTCCCTTACCCTCACCTTTCCACTACATATCCACCTTTTTGAAGATCATGAGGTCCTGAGACATTATTCTCTTTTAAGCTAAAAAGAAAAGAAAGCTGAATTTAGCATACTGTATATGGCTTACATGTAAGCACATGAAAAAAAACAGGAGCATTACAAAGTTTAAGGATGTTTGCATGGATAGGTAAGCTTTTGGTGGAATTTCCTGCTTCCCCAACAGATTTCAATGTCTCTAAACCCATTCAGTCCCTACTGTAGGATCCTGATGCACATGAA